AACCGATCCGTAAATTTCTCTGTTCTTAATATCAATAACAATAACTTTATCATAATTCGATGTCATGCGAATTGACTTTTTTTGCCATATATGTATATTCGAGCAATGCGTACGCGCAAACAGGTGACAGTTGCTTGGTTGTTTTGTTTAACTGCCTCCGTGGCCGAACGGTTACCATGCCGGACTGCCACGCAGAGGTCCCAGGTTCGATTCCCGGGCCGGGAGAAATAGTTGTATGGCCTACAATTATTTCTCTCGTGAGTTTGGGTGTAATTTGTGGTTGTCTATATGTGTGTCCATGGCACCCGCGACACAGGGTTTCCCTAGTGCGGGGCTATGTTGAGTGTGTGCGTTATTTATATTTATTTATTTATTGTTGTATTATTTTACTAAGGAAAGGAAAATTGGCGATAAGCGACTTGCCAAGTTCTTGCAAACAGTCAGACAATTTGTATGGATAAATAGGTATATTACGCTTACCTTGTTCGATAGAATAGTCCGACGTTTTGATTTGAACAATTAATTGAATAAGTTATTTGTACAAATTATCCTTTAACCTCTTATGATATGACCCAAACGCTTAATCGCTAAACGGCCAGTGTACGTTAACATGTACTGAATATAATTACATTTTCAGGTATAAGCAAGTATGTCATATATAAGTCTTGTACGAAAAACGTATTTTTCTGGATACCTTATATTCATAAAGAATATTATTATATGGCGCTAAATTTGAATGCAATATTTTCCTCATAAAAAAATTATTACCACCATTTTTAAAAATAATCTATAAACTATATTACTACAAGTTCGTTTTAATGTTCGAAACGGATAATGGTAATATTTTACCGCTAAAAGAAAACATAATTCTTCTTTAAAAAAGTAAGCAATGGAAATGGCAACTACAACCCTCAATTACCCAATTACACGGGAGTCGCAGCAATACTTTATGGATTGGGCATAAATGCCTCGCGTTTGTTTAAAGTTGTTGTGTTATAAATAAGTATTATGCCTCTATTAACCATTTTCTTAGGCTTGGAAGGAAAGAAAGATGTGTTATGTCATAGTATAATAAGATAAGTATGGTAACTCCATACAATACTTTTTATTAGTAGTGGAGCTCCTTCTGAAAGTGTTTGTCTAGGGAGTACTGCCATCTTACCTATTTCTGCTGTCAAGCAGTAATGTTCACATTACTGCGTTCCGGTTTGGAAGGGTAAGGGTGAAAATACAGGCAAATGGAACTTGTCCACTTATGTCTCAGTGTGACGGACGCAGTGGCTGTACCCCTAAGATTTAAATCTTTGCAATTTAAAGCTCTGAGTGGGAATGCACTGTTATGGATAGGCGTGTCGCTTACCACCGGGCGCGCGACTTTTTCATCCCTTGGTTTTATAAAAAAAAGAAAAAAAAAGAAAAGCAGTGTGGTTTGTAAATGTGCGCGCCCGCCGCGCAACGTGTACGGACACACATATTCGCATTATCTTGCAATGCGTTGTATAACACTGATGGGTCGCGTACACGTACAAGCCGCGGTGTTACTTTGTACGGAGTTACCGGACCAAACTTATTTTATTAACCGACTTGAAAAAACGGTGGAGGTTCTCAATTCGACTGTTTTTTTTTATGTACGTTACGCGATTATTCCTGCATTTGTGAATCGATTTTGATGATCCTTTTTTATTGGAAAAAGGGTACCTCAGTGTTAGTCCCATTTCAATTTGAAGCGAATATTCCATCTCCAAGGGTAAGGGATGAAACTAACTCACGAATTCGATTTCACGGACTTTCCAGTAACCGACTTCAATAGAAATGGGCAAAGTGATGTAATTCCACGAATTTTTGAGGTCGTTTTTTTTTTATAAAAAATTTGTAATTATTTTACTATGGTTATATGGGACTTTTACCCATTGGTAACTACCTATTTGCATAGGTACTTACTACCTAGAATGTTGACATTCTCTAATCGCAGAGACCTTATCAAAATTGGTCAAATGGTTTTTAAGTGATGCCGAAAAATTGAACAGAAAGAAAATAAGCCGCAGTTACCAAGGTGATATTATATTTCAATTCTATGCAATTTATTGCACTGTATAAAATTTATAAAGATCTCAACCAACGTATTAGTCGTTATTATATGATGCCCTGTAAGGGTACAGCAAATGAGCCCAGAAGGCAGTTTTTCTGTAACTACAAATAAGTCACTAGAACATTTTATTTTAAACTTAACACATGCTACCTGTACTATCTATATCACTTACTATCGATTACTTTATTTGTTCAGTTATATATTTTATAATAAATTTAATAGATACCATTTAATATTTTTCTTGAAAATTTCGTGGAGACTGTAGTAATATTATGGGCTAGAATTTTTTCAAGTTAATTAAATGCATATCAATAATTTTATTTCAACTTTTAATATGGTTGGGTATTTTTATTATCATAAAATGTGTAGTATATTTGTAGTTTTGATTAAAGGACGTAGAAGGTATTTTTAAATTGTATTCATTTCCACCATTACGTTTCATATTAGTTAGTGGTATACTTATGTTTCCTAACAAATAAGCAAACCTTCTAAATCTATATTTTTGTGAGTGTGGAAACCTTGTATTTGAAAATTAGGGACTTACGTAGACTTAGTTTGTTAAATTTTTCAAACATCGCTTAAGCAAGTGAATAATTTAGTAATAGCAGAACTATTTCCCCATAATAAAAAGCCGAACGACGCTCTGGTTGACAATCTTTGTTTCATACATCATAGTTTCCCAAACGCTGCCCAGCAAGTGATCCTCTTCTAGGCATTTTTCTCAAAGTTGTTTCAACATAATTTCATCAATAAAAAAAATTCCTTCGCCGCGGATAAAGCCGGAAGGGCTTTTGTGAGCGAAGCTAGTAAATAAGTATTTTTTTCTGTATTTTGGTCAATAAACTAAAAAAAAAAAATTGCAAATCTGCCAGAACAATTTCAATAAATTGGCTATTTACAAATATGGTTTCGGTTTTCTCCAAGTTCTCAGATCGTTCCAACATCGTTGCAGCCTTTCTAGCAACTTGTCATGAAGACTACGTTATTTGCGAAGCTCAAGTGTGAGCTATGTTCACTGATTATTTTTATATTCGGCTACTAACGAGGAGTGAGAAAGATTCATTCATTTCAAATTTAAAACTATGATATGTGCAAGGGCACGAAAACAAACAAAACAATGACATGAACATCATCAACCCATTTATTCGTCCCACTAGCTCTGGTCTCCTCTCAGGAGACCAGTGCCAGTGCCAGTGTTTTCAACAGTCCCAGTTTTTTCAACGTGCGGGTTTCATCTCGATGTTTTCCTTGCTCATGACAAATTACAAATTAGAAATCAAAGGAAAGGGCGCTATAAGCATTTGAATTCAGAATTTCATTCTAAAACTAATGTGATAAAAAAGACTATAAAATTTGTAAGTCAATGATAAAATACAAAGGATTTGTAGCGACTGCCGCAGTTAGCTACACTGTAGGTAATCTATATCAAATGTAATTGTATTTGACGTAATCTTCTTGAAACAAACTTGCCTGACTTGTTCCAACTGTGACAACACGTGACATCATTGCCGAATCACCCCCTTGTAGTCAAATAAAATCTTACAGAATTATAAACGCCACTTTATCTAGGTCCAGCTTGCGTGACACGAGGACATGTTAAGAAGTGTTCATGATGACAGACTAGGAAATATAAAAGAATTTTTCTGCCCCTTAATTGAGTTAGCTAGTAATAAAGTAGTTGATTTGATACCCCTTTAACATGATATGCGAGTAATGGCGTAATGAGTGATTACCCACTGAGCAACCCTCGTACCATCACAGAAAGTGCCGGAGGCATCCTCATTATGGCAACAGAGTAAAAAATTGATGCTATTTCAACGAGACATAGTCGCGTCGAATGACTGTGGTAATTTGTTGGTGCTTTGATGGCTCACTTGTACGTTGTGCTGTTGCTTTATGATGTTATAAAACCAGTGATCAAATTAGCAACAATTTTCACTTCTAATCTAAATAGTTGTGTTTGTTACAAATGTCTTAATTAATAATTTTTTATCCTAAATTTTTTGTCCTAATTTATTATTTTTCTTGTGATTTCGTATTTTTAATTTTATAATAATACTTTTTTTCTGGCCGTGGTAACCTACCGTCTATTAAGCAGATGATGTGGGTTCTTGACCGGTGTTTCACCTCTGAGTTTGTCGCAATTTTTGTGCGTTTTTTTGTATAATATCATTTGACGGGACGAACAAGTTGTGCGTCTGCTGTAAGGAGCTCTACTGCTACTAATTTAATTTGAAATTCACCATGGATAGTTGAACTTAGTGGAATAGATGTGGCTTTGCAGTGGAGGTGAACATAGTGAGGAAAGATGCACACATCTGTAAATCAATTTAAGGATGTGTGTGAAGTTCCCAAACACATTGGATCCGCGTGGGAACTACTCTACTAGACCAATCCGTATGTACCATTATGAGAGGAGACCTGTGCCCAGCAGTGGAACTATATATAGGCTAATTATTATTACTATTTTACTATTGGCTTTCATATGACATTCGTAGGAATTTCTAGCGAGGGATTCGGTTCGGTTATTGATTTAGATAGTCTGGTCTAATACCTAATAACCTTCTCCACACCGAACAGATTCTTCGAACCGTGCTTGCTTTGTGGTGTCTCAATTTTGTTTAAACTTATAATAACACACACACTCAACATAGTCCCGCACTAGGAAAACCCTGTGTCGCGGGTGCCATGGATACGCACATAGACAACAAATAACACCCAAACTCGCGAGGTAAATAAATATAGGCCATATAAATGTTTCTTCCGGCCCGGGAATCGAACCTGGGACCTCTGCGTGGCAGCCCGGTATGGTAACCGTTAGGCCACGGAGGCAGTTTACTAATTTTAGTCTGCACGTCATACAGTACGAAAGGAGTACACTCATCTCAATAAAAATTATCTTTTTTTTCAGTGCCAGTATCTCCGTCGTCAACAGGGGGCGGGGGCGGCGGCGGGTCCGGCACATCCCTCTACCCCGGAGCCGCGTCGCATCCTCTCTCGTCCCTGTTGTCGCAGCAGCGGCTACTGGAGTTGTCACGCTTCGGGCTGCGGCATTATGATATAGCACACCATGTCCTGTCCCAGCAAGGTGCTGTTACCAAATTGCTTGGTAAGCAAGTTATAGATTGGACTAGTCTGCCCATTCTTATTAAGAACATCTTGAATACAATCTTGCAACGCGTTTACTTATTTTTAACCGACTTCAAAAAAGGAGGAGGTTTCCAATTCGACTGTATTTTTTTGTATGTATGTTACGCTATAACTCGTTAGTGCACTGATTTTGATGATTCTTTTTTGTTGGAAAGAGGGTATCTCCATAGTCGTCCCATTTAATTTTGGAAGAAATCCACCTCCAAGGATGGCTGCTCACACATGAAGACTCATTTTTATGAATAGCGCTTGAATTTTATTATAAGGAGCAATTATTTTAATGGTTGATTTTGCTATTCTCTAATCCAAGGCGGTTTTCTTTAAACAGTTAGAATCGATTTTTATTATCTCTTGTCTTAAGTCCCGTATAGTGGCGGACTAGGGGTGAATCCGAGTATGAGCACTTTCAGATAACCGATTTCAATAAAACTTGGCAAATAGATGTAATTCCACGAACTTTTGAGGTCGGTTTTTTTCGTACTCTTATTTATTCAGACAGATTACTCTAATTATAAATTTAAAAAACCAAACTCAAAAGTTTGTGGAATTAAATCTATTTGCAAAGTTTCTTTGAACTCGGTTACCGGAATGCGGGTGAAATCCATTAAACCGGTTTCATCCCCTAATTTGCCACCTTTATTAGAAGTACAATATTTTCTTCAAATTTCAATGGAACTCCTATTCAGGTACCCCCTTTCCAATAAAAAAGAATCATTGAAATTGGTTCACAACTGATGGAGTAATCGCGTACAAAAAAATACAGTCTAATTGAGAAACTTTTTTGAAGTCTATATAAAAGAATACATACTTTGTTTGTATTAAATTTAATAGATATTTTATGTTTCAAATAATACGATACAAACTACTAGATTAAATTAATGAAATTGGGTTATCCAACAAGCTGACTGCGATCCTATTCGCATGACTGTATTGATACGTAGCTGTCAGTCACTGAGTCTCTAATCATTAATTGTCGTAAAGTTGTCAGAGACTGTGGAAGGTTTTTTAATGTCCTTTTAAAAACACGATTCAAGATATTCTTATAAGAGTGGTCACCCTATAAAATCTAGTAAGAATTTGCCAATTTGGTATAAAAATGAAAATCATGCATGTAAAACATCGTTGATTATGTTTTATGACTTTACCATGATCGCTATTGATAGACGGTAGCAAACGCATAATTCGAGTAAATTTATACAATTTATTTCGTCCTTACCGACACTCGACACTGTAAACTCAAGGTAGGGGTACTGAAATTGTCATAATCGTTGTGCGGCTAAATGTACTCTCCCATTATAGGTAGTCCTACCGTACCATTAGTCTTTAAAGAAAAAATAAAACGCTGCAGCCTTCACAGTAATTTGTATTGTATTGTATTAATATGTATTTCTATAAACGTATTATTTCTTATCGCTAAGATTGCATTGGTTTTATTGCTTGCAATTGTAAGTTAATTTTTTCCGGTTTGTTTATTTCAACAGGTAGAAGATAAAATAATAGGTACAGTCAATATCAAAAATAACTCACAGTCAGTCTTAATCGCAAATAGCAAAATAAACTTTTTAAACATAATTAAATTATCGATAAAGCAAGCCCAGTAATTTTTTTATTTGTTTTCAGGTATGTAACATGTTCATAAAGACTTTTTATGTTAAGTCGTGATTAAAATGTTTTAATGGCTAAAAGTACAAATATAATCCTCTCTACTAATTTATAACAGGATAATGACATTCAACTTATAGTTAAGTAAGTTAATAAACAGTTTACAAGTTACCTTTTTTCGTGTTCCTTATACAATTTACTTCTCTAAAAATATTTAATTTCTTTTTTCAACGTCTGTATTGTCTTTACCGACAAATCTAAATAAAATACAGTCCACGCATAGTTTCATGGCGTGACACATTAATTCCCTTGTAACATGTAATTCATAATGTCGATGCAATAAATGCAAAATAAAACCTTAATTCTTGGCGACTAAAATTCTTTGTTAAAATTATTTGTTAAAATAATATGTTAAGAAATTTAGAAACGCTCGAAGCAAGGTAATTGATAAAGCGAACTTCTGCCTATTGGGTATCGGTTCCACCGCAATTAGTGTATATATTATTTATAGAGAACTCGTTGGGCACTCTTCAGCGTTGTATTGATTTATACGACCGTTCTAGAGAAATGCCCCGCGGCCCGTTATGCCCTGCAACTAAGTTATTTGCGATAATTACTTTACCGCCCGCCTAGAATGATCAATATGCTTCACTGTAACGCAACGCGATTGGCCCGTGAAGCTGCTATCTTATTCAGTAGCCTATTATTGTTTTACAGTTACAATTTCTACAAAATCGTTTCATAAAGCTTGAGGAGATGTTGAACGAAACGACCTGCAATTTTTAGTGTGTAAAACTAAGATACAAATACAACCTGAGCACTGGGCCTCTAAAAGTATAACCATTAATTAAGCATATAAACGATACCAAAGCACTCATTGACAACTCGGTAATTTGTCGAAATCGACGCGGCGAGGAACTGTGGTTAACTCGGTTATAATAACAGAGTCGTGGCAAAAATCTCAATCGCTATTAATCAACGATAAGCCATCGTTGGAGCCTGCCGCGACGAAAGCTGCTATTGACGAAAGCTTAGATCCTAATCGATTCATAAAACTTGCAGCGTGTTAATTATAAGCCACCGGGCGGCGGAGGAGCGCCCGCGCCGCCTCGCCGCGAGCATGCGCTCCCAATGCGCCCGCGCAGTTCAGATGTGGGAACTATCTTATCATCGGTGATTCTTCACAGCTACAACCGTATATTTGACTGTTTCCTTCCAATTATCGCGGCTGTATTTAACGCAATATTTAATCGTCGTTCGAAACAAACAACGCTACGCGAGTTCAGTTTGCAGTCACATTGCACTTCCTTTTGCACCCTATTTAATTACAGGTTGAGACGAAATTTAATGCCTTTGAGGCAAAAAAAGTACACTGAATCAATCGTGGAAATAAAACCTGGAATTTACGAAACCCTGTCAGTAATTTGAATGTGCGCTCATGAGGTAGGACAAAGTAGTGGAAACAATTAGTGATTTATAATTCTAGGTTAGAGTTGAAGCCAAGCGTTACTTTACCTCTACATCGGCGGACACTTGGTCTAATGCAATTAATTCGATCAATTAGATCTGTCCCTAATATATTATTAGAACACATGCTCACTTTGTGTTTGCTCAAGACTCGTGAACTTAGGATTGGAATGCATCGATGCGTTTCTTTCGGCGGGTAATTTTTTTTTACGTTTACATCGCTTAAAACAACAACGCTTAAAACATCTCGAAATAAATGATGGTATCGAAAAATGAGGTAGGTTGTATCTATGATATATGTGACAATACTCAGCACTCAATAATTTTATTGCCCTCCAACGTGATCTGAAGATATAATTCCGAAAATTGATGACATTAGTACCACATGGTGTACAGTGTTCTTTACCTGTTGTACTCTTTTCTACGAGAAGTTATTACGTTAAAAAATTAACTTTTTACGTACGAGTGTTCCAATGTGATTCAAGTTATGAATGTTACAAAATTCAGAGACAAATTAGACTATCAAAAATATTATCATGTACTTCATTCTTATTCTAGATGGAAAGTAACTATGACGAAACCCGAACTTTAAATTTCCTTTACTTTTGTGGCAATGGTTCTATTTTCACAACTCTTTCACCATAACTCCGAAATAAATTGATCGACACTATTGGAATTACTAGAATACCTTTCTTAACATGTCCCGTACATGTCATTTCATCGCTTAAGCATCATTCTTCCTAAGGTGCTCAGCATAAATACTAGAGTATGCTTTGCAACTCTAATGCAGCAGTACTAGAGTAATTTTACGCAGCCATTAATTCCACTTCACTAAAAATGCCTCAGGAGCTGCGACATATCATTAATGCCATATCATTGTGTGAAGCCACTTTAAGGAAAAAGTAAATTAAGGAAGTTTGCCTTTTATGTCAACAGATTATTTTTTGCAGTAGTGTCAATGAAATAAAATTGTGAAGTTTTATTATAATTGGTCATCAATAAAATACTGCTTAGTAGCAATTCACGTACCTTATTATTTTATTACTATTATAATCAGCTGCAAATACTTTCAAGTTCTTTTCAATCGCACTGTAAAAAATGTGAAAAGACTTAACAAACTTAACAATACGCAAAAACAGAAGACACATCGTGCATTCCTTTATTTTTCCATAGAAGACATAATATTTATTGAAATAGTATAACATTTAAGAGCTCTTGAAATGTGCTCAGTAGCCCTAAAAACAAAATTTTTTCACTGGGGTTGTGGTTATAGTCATTTTCGAGTAATTTAGACGTCGATATTGATATTTTTGAGTTTTTGAAATTTTGTAGTTTAAAGTTATTGGCCATTTGTATGTTATCACTTGGCCATTTCTACACTGGTAAAAATAAAGTTAATTTCGCTGAAATAAATAGCAAAAGTATTTAGGCATTTGGATTCTGTTTTGCCAAATGTAGACGCATGCAGACTATTCTCTTAACTCTTCAACCATTGTTTTACAGCTACAAGATAAGCTGTATTTTCCAACAGTGTTTCACTAGGGTATATAAAAAATAATTAAGTCCGTTGATTGGCTGGCATCTGATTTTTGTATACTTATTTGGCTGGCTCATCAACCCAAAGTGGATCTTGACCTCTGACACCAAAGTACGCCATTTTTCGGTCTTGTGCCAGTTCCGACTGTTCGGGCACATTCAGCTCCTTCAGGTCTTTGGCGACTCCATTCTTCCAACCATATCTCGGACGATGCACTGGACGAGTTGCCCCAAATATGCTCTTTTGGCAGCTCGTTCCTCTCCCATTCTTTACAAATGTCCTAGTCAGCGAAGTCGGGCGGATTTAGTTTCCCGATTACGTGCGGCTCAAACACTAGCTCTTCGATCTTTCTC